GAATCATCCACACCTTGTACCTAGTTGTCGTTCTTGTGGAAACACTCCCGACACCAGCCGTCTGCTCGGCATATTCTTCACCATTTCGCTTGACACACCTTTGCCTCTGTTCACGGTAATTTCGGAGTGGTCCGGTCTCGGCAGCCACCCATTCCGTGCACAGACTGTCATGTTGCATCCATGGTGGTACGGTATACTCCGTATTATGCCCAGAGCAGCAAGTGCAAGGCACCGCAGCGGGAGGTACATTAATCCAAGTACCTGACCGTGACTTACAGCAACTATGCCGCTCTGCCGTATTTGCCCGTCTCTCGCAATTCACAGCATCCTATGGTCCATCCACTAATTACTTGTTGCGCGGCTTCAACTGTTCGTCTGCATAGTAGTATGTGTGGCGATCAGGCCTCATCATACGCCACTGCCCCGGGGATGATATGCTTCGGACGAAATCCAGTCTTCCTTCGAAGTGATCCAGTGGCGGCAATCATATCCTTCGATAAATAACCCAGACATGTTGTCACAGTAATGGCATCTGCGACTTTCCACTTGTCGTGCATGGTTACAGTTTTTTTTTTCTTTCTTTTTTTTTCTCCCCCCCCCCCCAATAGGCTTAAATGCTCACAACTACCACAGTGTTACACCTGACAGCTGACAGGGTGATGTGTGATGTCAGCAAGTGAGACGCATACAGCACACGGGAAGCACGGTCAAACGTTGACAAAAACGGCATGACACTGGGAAATGATCGTCGTCAAGTCCTAAACGGGCGTCCCGTAGCCCATATTTGGCAACAGTCGCCTTCTCTGCAACTCTTACAACGTGACAACTTTGCTCGACAGCTCACAATGATAATGCCTGTACCACGGCTCCCGCCCAGCCGCCAATACCACGCCATCCACTGGACTGTGCCAATAAGTCTAGTCAACGAAGATCAATAACCTATGTAACAGTAGTTAGAGAGGTCTCTAGTCCCATCAAATCACCATCAGCCGACCACCGACCCTTTTACCACCATTTGCCAAAATCATTCTATATCTATAAGACCACTCACTGTCTGGGCTCTCGCTTGACCGACAATTGTCTCCAGTCCCAGTTTCCTGTGACGCCACGGCGCTTGAGGGGCTCCTTCTGGATTACCTTGGGAGGTGCGGACTGCCCATTGAACATGCACGCCATGCGGCTGGTATGACAGGACGCCAACACCCACCGTACCAAGGGAGGAACCTTTCTAAGGAACATCCAATGGCGTGAGCCGGCATTGTTGGGTAGCCGCTCAGCTTGTGGCGCATATCAACCGTCAAAGGACGGACATTAGGCCAGTGCTCACATATGACCAGATCAGTGGCTTACAAGTTGCAACCCCCCTTCTCCCCTCACCCCCCCACGAAAGCCTGCCGGCTCGGGGGGGAGGGTTCCACAACGTCATTCCACTCGCTTGGAGATAGAATTGGATTCTTACGGCGAGGAACGTTGCCTCGGACGTTGGAAAGCCCCGTTTGGCAATTACTTATCTAAACGCCTTATCGGATTTCTATATTTGAACTAACCAAGCATCGTAGCCGTGGCGCCCAAGTAGTATCGACAGCAGTTGAAGTATCGTAACGTCCGTTTCCAAACGGTGCTTTACTAACCGGGTGGCCGGCCGAGGCACAGTTCCATGTGTGACCGATCTCATCTTGGCTGGGCCGAGGCTGACGAGCAAAAAGAAAGCATGGTTCAATAGACAATCCCAGGAGGGACAAAAAGCGACACAGAAGAGCACAAAGTGGCAGGGCGAGCCTTGCTTGCTACAGTGGTATTCTCGCAACTGCAAGACCATCGTCGGCTGGCCTAGTGCTTGTCTTACCGCACAAGGACGACACCAACACGATGGGACGGAGGGAGAACGGTGTGTGGGGACAGTTGCAACTGGACGTTCGTGTCGTACTGAAGAGACGGTCATGAGCCGTGGCTGGATTGCCGAGCCGAGCTTCGGCTGGCCTGCCAAATTCTTATTTTTGTGTCTGTCTCCAGATCCAGGTGTGCAGAACCATCGCCCGATGCAGGGTGCGGGGCATGCCGGCTTTTTTCTTTTCTTTTCATGACCCTGCATCTCGGTCATCTCCACAAGAAGACTGGCAGGCATACTATCCTTGCAACCGCCAGAAACAAAGAGCGGCGGCCTAGAAAAGGTCTGCCGGTCTGATACGCCGTCATCCGTTGGTTCCGCCGTCACCGCTGCGCCGTTCTTCCCTGATAGACGGACACCGACTTCGACAGACACCTGGACCGTGGAAGCCGAAAATCTCCGGTCTACTACTATGTGCCGAGCGACATGCCTCAGAAAACATCCAACGCTTACTTGTTCCACCGGCCGGGGCCGTTGATCGGCACCGTGTTCGAGACGTGGCCTCGTTGTTTACATGACGTCTCCTGCTGGGTTCAAGAATTGACTATCATGGTCGCTTCCCACAACAACTAATTCGTGACCGCTGCCATGATCCAGGCGGTAGCCTCACTCGCTCAAGCCTTGGAAATACCTGCAACTATGGTATGCAGCCGGCATGGCAGGTCTTGCTCGATGCACCAAAAACGCTGTGCAAACCAGGTTCAGGTCACGCCTTGGTTTCTCTAGAACGGGAGAATTGAACTCTGTTTCGGCCAAGTAGTCGCGATAGGGCAAGGGAAACCGATCTTGCCACCAATCCATCCGCCTCCGTGGTTCGCCTCGCCGCGTTGCTGCTCTCGCCTTGCAGGACCATCCATACATTCATACACCCAGGAGCTCGAGGTGTCAAAGCGTTCGCAGACCGCTTGGTTTCACGCCAGACTTCAAAAGATCAAAGCGCTATGGGACGTCCTCCGCACACCCCCGTCCGACCCCAAAATTCCTCATCTGATCTTTCAGCCCCATGTCCCTGCACGGCGGTTGGCAAAGAAGCTGAATGATGGCATCAGTCGGGGGGGGGGGGGGGGCTCTGGGCGAACCATAGCAGTTCCGAGTCCATCCCGATAAACCCTGGCAGGCGAGGTTTCCCGATTCCCCGCTAGCGATTGGAGGCAAGAAAGCAAGACTGGTGGTTGATTGTTGATATATGATCAAACCACACACGGACCAGGCCAGTCCTGGATGAGTACGCCGTATGACAGAGAGCAAGTGGAGCGAGTGAGAGAGACCTACGAGGAGTGCTAGCAAGGTGTTGGGCACCTTGCCCTGGGAACGCGTTGAATATCCGGAGCACGAAACCTTGGCGTCGATATCACAGTTCTGAACGAAGCACCGCTGAGAAGATAGATGTCAGGCCGCGCGGCACAACACCAAGGTAAACGGCCAGGAAAGCCTTTGCAGTTCCGTTGGAGCTTCCAACCTTGGCCTGCTCATGCTCATTACCCTGTTTCATCCATCTGCCCTGCGCGTATCTCGTAGTCCGTATCTGTGCCGCCCGGCTTGACTCGCACTCCCCAACAACGTATCTCGCCATACCAAATGGAGAGGCCATCGAATAGGACGTTTTGCACGCATATGGGGTCGCTTCGGCTGTTCGGTCCCGGGTGGGGAGTGCCTCCCTTGCCCGGCAGCTTGGCGGGGGAAGCAGCTCAGTCAGTAAGCCGGACCGAGTCGACAAGTGTCGATTGCGATGCCTTGCCGTCCTCAAACGGCCGCTAGCACAGATCGGTAGGTCGGCTTCCTAACAGGACCGGTTCTTCCTTTCGAAAAAGAAGAAAAAAAAAAACCTAAAAAAAACCTTGAACGATGGAAATGGCGGATCTGGTCGCATGTCTTCTCGGTCCCTCGGCGAACGGAGGTTCCCGTGGGGTAACCAAACCAAAGCCTTTTGGGTTAATGACGCGGCTATTCAACCTCCCCCGGCTGCTGTGCGTTCCCGCGCTTCTGGTGGCACTCCCAGCACGCCGGCGACAACCTCGATCCGGAGCTATAACTGGCTCATCTGCGACTAGCCAGTTGAGTTCAGGGTTGACCACGTACAGGGGCTTGGGTCGCCGTCGACAGTCGTCCTGCTCATCGGCTACCTCGATCGGCGAGGCACGAGTTTCATTCGGTGCTTGTTTATCCTTGTTCATTTTTATTTTATTTTATATTCTCGATGGGGAGGGGGGGGGGGGGGGGGTTCTCTTCTATTTTTTCTTCGTTTATTCGATTTTTTGCCGGGCAACTGCTTGACCTACGCTTTCCCGTGACGGTCGCCGAGACATCATCTCCGGCCCAGTTGATGGCAGAAATCCTGCTACAAGGTTGATTCAACATTCTGCCACGCGTCACCTGGCCCTTCCGGCACACCTCCGAAAAGGAAGAAGCTGCTTGTGGGCGTTTAGGAAAGGTCCAGGTTCCCCAAACGGTCTGATGGTGGCCCAGAGTAGGTTTATCAAAAACCCAAAGCAGCCTTGCGGGAATACATGCGCGTTTCCGGCGCGACTCACGTTGGGCTCGATGAACAGGCGGTGTGTGAGGCTCGGACGCGTCATGCCTGCGACAAGCTCTTCGGCAGATGAGTGATGTACGGTCAGGGTCCAAGGGTCCTGACGCTTCGACGTGACTGACGCATTCACGGCGGCTCTGCCGAATTGATTGGGATCATGTCGTCGGTCGCACACGATCCGAATATCATGATGTCTGATGGCAAAGGACGGCTGATATACCAAATGAAGTGTTCGTAGCGGGCATGCAGAAGGGCAGACGCCATCGCTTCGGCGTCATCGGCATCTGCATCGTCATCGGCATCGGCATCAGGGCACTCACTCAAGGGCAGAGGAACACACATTCCAACCTTTTATTCCTTGTATTCATTGTAGAAGAAGAAAAAAAAGCGTGAAAGAGGAAGGGACTAACAGCACCGACTGCAACTCCTTACGTGTTAATACAATAGCCGACGGCAACGGCAATGGATAGCTTTCGTCTCCGGCCACGGCGACCCGCCATCGGATGGAAAGCAAACTTCCTGATACTGCTCTTGGACACCACCCTCACCATCACCACCATTTGCTTTTCTTTCGAATCCAGTCTACAAAGCCAACAGAGCAGCAACGAGACCCCCCAGCAGGGCAACCGGGCCCAAGGTTGCGGCGGAGGAGCTGGGTGTGCTGGGGACGGATGCAGGCGCGCTGGTCTGGGCAGCGCCGGTTTGGGATGGAGATGCCTGGGAAGGAGAGGTCGGGGAGGCAGAAGTCGAGGCGTTGGCGGTCTTGCAGACGACCTGGTCGGGCACAGATACGCCGGCGCCGGTGCAGATGTTCTGGGCGTACTTGACGGCAGTCTTCTGATCAGCCTCGGGGCAAGCACCGACGAGGCAGCAGGCAATGCCGTCGAGGAAGTTCGCGTTGGAGCAGATGCATTTGACGTCGAGGCTGCTGCAGCCGGCGATGGCGTTGCCAGAGGTGAATTGGGTGACGCAACCTTGCTGTTTAGGGCGCGCTCGGGGTCAGCACAGGAACCGGACCAAACTGAGCAGGCATCGCGATGTCGGGTGGCGCTTGTGGCCCGGGGGGTTAAGGGGAAGAAGGACGTACAGCGCACTTGGGGAGGTCAGTCTGCGCGGCGGCAAGGCCGGCAAGAGCGATGGCGACGGCCACGGAGGACTTCATGGCGACAATGATGTTGATTTTTCTTCCTTTTTTTCCCCTTCTTTTTTTTTTCTTTTTTCTTGTTTCACTTCTACCGTGGAAGCGCGTGCTTTTCCTGCGAAATGATTCTGATGCGTGATGTTCGGCAGGGTTGGGCCAGGTGGGCGTGTGGATGCGTCGTGGACGGGTTTGAGCGTTCAAGTAGTTATGATGATGCGATGACTAGAAGACGAGGACAAAGCTGGTTTGAATGCTGTGACGAAGGGGGAGGATCAAACAGGGCACGAGAACGAGAACCCAGGGAAGGGGGGGGCGGAAGGTTGAGGCTTGTTGACGCTACTTACTCGACTCAGGAGGCGTCTGCAATAGCGTGACGGGATGCTTTAGCCCGATTCGAGAGCCCTTCCCCTACCCCTTCCCCTTCCATGGCAACCATCCATTCGGAGTGGTGACGCGCGCGCGCGCGCCCGCTGCCGTCTGTCTTCATTTCCTGTCGACAAGGCCCCTGATGGGAATCACGAAATCAATCAGTACGCCGCGCGACGCCGAGATTGGCCACCGATCCCACCTGATTTGGGTTCAATAGAGCTTAAGCTTTTCTGGGCTACGGAGCCTGTTGGAGAGAAAGAGCAACTTCATTTGCCCTGGGAAATCAAAGGTTTGGCACTCTTAGCATGCATTCTAAGTCAGGGTCGCCCAGGCCAGCCCCACGAAAGAAGCGAATATAGTTTAGAATGCCCCCACCCCAGAACACCCGGTGGGGGGGGAGGTGGATGGGTTCGTTCAGTCCGCCTTCGCTTGCCTTCCTTCCATCCATCGATGCATCCATCCTCCCCCTTTCCTCCTTCCTCCTTCCTCTCTCCCCACACACCCGCCCAGACGGGTTGGACGATTCGGAATGGGAAGGCAGACTTTCTCATAGCAATGGCCGTTGCCGGATCCGCGTCCGGCGGCAGCTCCGTCAGTGTTTGCACACCACACCCACCCCGTCCATGTCTCCACCCGGTCATCCGTTGTCTAGGTTTACCGCCGCGTCTGACCGCCAGGGAAGGACTGAAACATCATCCAGAGTTTGTCGCGAGGCCCATTAACACCTATCCGTACTCCCATCCGCCCATTTCCCTAGTCATTGGCCCCCGTCGATGGTGGCCGCGACAGGCAGGTGGACAAACTTTCTTTCTTTCTTCCTTTTCTTCTTTTGTTTTCTTTTGTCTTCTATTTTTATTTTTTTCTATTTTTTTGCCTTTGTTCCCTTCTCTTCTTTCTTATTCCGATGTTTTTCCAGCCTCCATTCGTCTCTCATGTCCGGACGAAAGAACCCCCCTGCCCCCTGAAAGAAGAAAAAAGCAAAAAGAAAAGAGACAAACAAACGACAAAGTCACACGAGGACAGGGTTGGGAAAAATACTTTAAGTATTAAGTCCAAGTACAAGTATACTTAAGTAAGTAAGTATAAGTACGGCCGGCCAAATACTTACCAAGTATAAGTAAGTATAAGTATGCTGACTAAGATACTTAAGTATACTTAAGTATACTTAATTAGTAAATAAAAATAAATAAAAGTAAATAAAAGTAAATAAAAATAATATTAATAATAAATAAATATTAAAAAATTATATATTAAATAAGAATTTAATATATTATAAGTATATTAATCTGGTTTGAGAATAACCACGGGCGACCTCCGGCAAATAGAGGACGAGTCTGTGTGGATGCAATCCACAATAGCATACCTGACCGATCAGTCTTCAACGCCCCTTGGTTTGCTAGGAGTCAGGTCTAGAGTCTAAGGGCCCAGCACTATGCTAATCTTTACGCATGTCAATGACTAGGCCAGCAGACGTCGATTAGCTAGATAAATCTCGACACCTCGCATTATGCCAACGAAGCCCGAGAATAGATTGAAGTACGCGGGAAGA